GAGGGAATCCATTACAACTAAACACTTAAGCTAAACAAAACATCAAACATCAAATCTCAAAATGCATCCCAAGTGCACAATTTTAATTAACACAAATGCGGCATTCAGACTTACGGATGCAGGCTGCAATAACCACATTAGCTACGGCTTGGTTAATTATGTGGTCCGTAGTTGACCATTAGATATGCCAACGAATGGCGTACCTAGGGTCTTAGGTCTACGAGTCTTGGACTTTTTGTTCTCTTTTCTACATATTTATAACACAAAAAGCCAGAACAATTTGAAAAGGTCTTTTCGACCTGCTGGGAGCCAGGCTTCTTCCTTTAAGAGAAGGGTGTGGGTGACGACTCTTGACTTTCTCCCCAGTTAACTGACTCATTTTACAGCCCAGGATCCAGCGTACGCTTCACATCACTACTGTTGTATCGATGAAGCCTCATGTTTCGTCCCTTGCCAATCTGTACCTCGGTTGTACCCATCTGTAAATTGGCCAGACTTTCCTACCTCGTTTGGGTATTATGAGGCTAAATTCTGTAGGATGCTTTGCAGCCCCGTGATGAAAGGTGCTATATAACTGCAAAGTGTTACTTCAAAAGATTTAAATAGGTCACCAGTGCATCATAACCTATATTAAAAAGACTTTTTCTTATATGAGAATTTATAGAGTTCAATGTATGGTATTAATAAGTGAATTATTGAGACCCCCAAAATAGTTTTTGTTTGAATCGTATCTGTATTCTGGAAAAGTGATTAAAAACCTTTAACCTTAATAAAAGAGTACATCCTCATTTCCTGTATGATGTTGGAATCTAAGTTTAAAAGCAGAATCTCACAGATTTTAAGGGGCGGGGGGTGGTGTATTTTTTTTCTAAGCCAGCATTTAAACAGCAGCTTAATACCTTCACGGCAAGGCTTGGTCTTTCCCACATGGCCGTACAGCAGCTCACACTGAGTTTTGCTCCTCTTTGAAGCCTCTGGCTGTGATCAGATCAATCACCAACAGAGTTTGTTACACGCACCCCTGCCCCCCAAACTGAATGCAGGCGAAGCGGTGGCTGCTTGAGCGGTGCCCAACGCCGTCAGCGAGGAGAGTCCTTGGGACCGAACATCGCCTTTGCTCTGTCACCCTGAAATGCCAGAATCGCCCAAGAGCCGCAGTAACACGGAAACACCATCGCTCACCTGAGACCCTCATCATACTGCGCTTGATGTGGCTTCCAGTAAGGGCAGGGAAAGTCTCATGGGTTTCCGAGTGCGGTCCCTAAGGCTCCTCTGTGTTAGGAGCCACCGGAGCTTTACTCAGTGCAGCTTTTAAGGCCCCAGTCATGCAGCTGGGTTACACTCGTTTTGCACCATGCTGGTGCACCCACAGCCAGGCGAGTGCCTGTGCAGCCAGCGTAGCCTCACCAAGCCCAGGAACCGGAGATGGTCCTTGAAAACAGATACGGGAATCACAAGCAAAAAAAAATTACACGAGTGCTGATTAAATGTTCCCAACAGCCTGAAGAATGAGCATGCACACCCTGGTGCAGCCACAATCACCAACAGACCTCATACGGGCACACCATATGTGTCTGGGGGTGCAAGGGAGGGTATCTGTTTTAATGGAGGCTTACTGTATTATTATTACTATGCAGCTGACACTTCCATGCCATCATTTGAGGTGAGCTGGGTTTGCACAGGGATGGCCGGTGTTCACTTCAGGAGACAGGAAAAATTGGAACTAGGATTGAGAACAATGGCGTGTGAACTGCAGAAGTGGTAGGGAAA